AATTAAACGTTTCTATGTCAACCACAATAGCAATTTAAATGCCAGGATGCAGTCAGAGAACTGCACACCAAGAAAAAAAATCTCTGTGAACACATCCTGAGTTTTAGTTTCATTTCTAAAGTGAGTATCTGCTCATTAGTGATTAGAACCCACATATTTTCATTTTGCTATAATCTAATATTATTAATATACTCTTTGAATCAGAATGGCCAGGATATGGAAAAACTGTTTTTGTTTTATATTCTGCCTAAACCCCTCCTGCATTGTTTTCCACATACAGTAGTTTTACCACTTTTGTTTTAAATTCATTCGGTTAGCAGGCCTCATACAGAAAAATGCAGCCGGTCTCTAAATCATTTCTAAGACATCAGTAATAGGCCATAGAATCACATACTGCCAATCTCTTGTACTGTATACACATTTATCTTGTTGACTTTAATCAGAACTAGGTCCTTTTTAATGCTGACTATCAGGCCACCATAAATCGGAAGCAACTTGATGGCACATAACACACATGGTTTTCATTAAGACCACGTAACCAAAATTTATATGGGTCATGTTCATTCTGCACTAGACAACAATTCAAGCACAGTTTGCCACTGCCTTTGCTACAACTGCAATCTCTAGTGTCTTGTAAATATGTCTCATGTTTTCACATCACAAATTCAAGTTCAGTTTCAGAAGCACAATCGTTTCAACTCTCATTACCATGACATGGCTATAGACATGCTGCCTTTAGTCATTTGACTAATTATATCACATAGCATTACAAACTGAATAAACGAGGTGACAGCAATATGGGTTAACAAATTATGTTTATTTCCCACTTCTTCTGTTCCTTCATAAAACTGAAATTGTAAAGTTGCTAAAATATTCTAACACTAAATACTGCTTTATATGCATTCTTTTTAACACCAATCAAAATTTAACAAAGCACACAGGGTCAACACAAGTAATACAGCAATATTCTTCTCTACCAGCAAACATGTTGACAGTTACATGAAAGGAATGATACTGGTCATATGGAACAAATGACAAAATGACAACAGGCTCAGGGAACATAATCAAGAACAATTCTTCCGCACCAATGGCACATCACACTAATTTTAAGACGATGAAATCGTAAGTGAAATATTCTAGGGCAGAGCACAGTATACTACACTCTTCTATCAAAATAATTAGCTATTTTCAGGTCTTGATAAAATCTATTTTGATAACCACTCTGTATTACCCAGCTGCAGACACTGAACACATACTACAATTTATTCCCAGTCATTCTGAGCACTAAAGTATTCTCACACGGTATGAGACACAAGAGCCAAAGAGTAAACTTGATGGATCAAACCAAGGGCCACTCTAGTCCACCATCCTGTACTCACTGTGGACAATGAGATGCTGATGAAAAGCCCACAAGTAAATATGAACAAGTGCCAACCCTAGCACGCTCTCCATTGTCCTCTCTACGGAGTGTACTATCCAGAAATCACCATATCCCATGGGCTTTCCTCATTTCACAAGGACGGTCCCACACACAGTGCCCAAAAGCTTCTAATATTAATAAAAGAATATTCATACATAGTCTTCCTGATCAAATGTCTCTGGCAGGTACATTTTTTCACAGCCCTTTTACTTCTTTGACTATCTATCACAGGGTGAGGGGCTATTTATATCCCATCTCCACTGGACAATCAATTTTCCGCTAATTTCATGGTGGTGATTCAACTCAGACCTACCACTCTCAGCTCTTACCAGATTTACCCAAAGGTTCAGTTTTAAAGCTGTTGTGTCACCTTGTGCCAGCTATCTATATTGGTTCAATTGGAGCCTGCCCCTTTTGTAGAAGCAGACAATTGCACCAAATTAAAGTCAAATTAATGTTTTTACCTGATGTTGCACTAGTCATGAAATGGTGGTGCTTAGCCTGAAAAAGTGGGACTCCTCCACGAAAGCTTGCATTTTTTATATTTTTTATTGATCCTATAAAAGATATCACCCACTTTTACATTTTTCTATAAGCATGTTTCTACTGAAATGTAAAGCATCAACCAAGATGATTCACTGCTAACAAATAAGGGCTTCAAGACCTGTGAATAAGGTTCAAAAATTTAGACTGGAAAAACAAAAATGTGCTCCCTGCAGACATAATAATCATGTCAGAAACTGCACATGAAAAAATAGTTAGCATGCATTAGAGAGAAACTTCCACAAGAGGGAGCCAAAAGACCCATTTCATTCAAACCGCTGTTGTAAAAATTGAACTGATAACAATTGCTTACCCAAAAAATATCTACAGAAATGCTGATAATCAAGTATAGATACTGTTCTACATTTTAAAGTCCCACTCGTCAACTCCAAAGTATATGCCTTATTTTCTGCATTATTGCTATAAAATGCTTCCCCAAATTATACTTGTAATATCTAACATCACTTGCCTGGATCAGTGTTGGGGTGAATGCATTGCTTTTTATGTATAACACACTATTTCAGCTTCTCTGTGCCATTTTTCTATGCCTATTCATGCTATGTATTACTGTATCCATGTTATCTAGGACTTTGGGGATGTAAAATGCTGTCAATTATTTGCACAATACCTTTGCCTCATTCCTAAATAACGACTTTACAGCGTGTGACTGTGTTCTGTGCAATCAAACTGGAACCAAATTATAGTGACACTAATAGGGTTTTCAAGGTAAGTGGGACATTGAAGGAGCAGTTTTACCAGTTCTACTCCCCCAGTGAGTTTCCATGGCTAAGTGGGCATTTGAACCCTGTTCTCCAGAGTCTGTCATTCTATCCACTACACCACACTGGGAATTCCTGGTGTGCAACTAGACGGCCATATCATCCCAGCCTAGATTGGTTTTTATCATGCTAAACAGGGTCACTTTGAAGTCTGGTATACCCATGCAAGGATCAACCACACTACACCTCAAGTGATCCTGGTTAACACAATCAAAATATCCTTTCCTCTTGCAGGGAAAGATTTCCCAATACTGTTAAGCAGCTGGGTGATTGCCCCTTGGTGAAGCGACTCAGCGGTCTTGAGAAATGGAAAACTTCCTTTCCGCTCAGCTTTTGGAGGGCAAAGGAGAGGAAGTTTTGTTTAATTGTTGTTTTTTAATTGCTGTTAACGTATCAGAGATGCTTTGAAAGGGTTTTTTCCCCCAATACCCTGTTGAAGCATCAATGATGTACTATTGCCAATCAGCAACAATTAAAAAGAAATGGAAAACATTGTTACCCTTCTTCTCCAAATGGGAGTGGAACAGAAGCTTCCAATTTCTCAAAATTGTTAAGCAGCTTTAGCCAGCTAGTTTCTTTGGTTCAAACCCAGCAATCGCACATGCTGGAACCAAACCAAAACAGTGATCCTACCCACCCCAAAACAAACCAACAAACCAATAGCCCCTGACAAGGACATAAAAAGAGCTGTGAGGAGGCGTCAACCAGAGGCGGTCTGGTTTGCAATGGCATGTACATTATGTGGAATCAGCCCATCCCCAACCCAAACTAAACCATGGGATAAGTGCCCATATGATCACACTCTTAAAATTCAATTTGTCAAAGTTCAAGGGGCCCTATCTACCAAAACATGAAAGTAGCATCCTGATGGTGCTACCCTGAATCAGGCTAACTGGAGGTAGAAAAAGATAGCTAAGTAGTAAATATGCTCAGCATATATGAAAGTGGAATTTGTAAGATAAAGTATTTCAAGAATATCAAAATCCAAAACAGTAAAATAGTATTTCCATCCGGATGAAAGTTTGCAGTGTTATGTTGAAGCTTTTCAGTTACACAGAACTCTTAAACTGAATTAAATTAAAAATGGGATAGCATGTTTCTGGTAAACAGCAATGTTTAACTCTGCAGTCAAATTTAAGGTGACAGAAACATTCCTGCAGAACACAAGAACAATGTCATTTGAAAAAAATAAACATTTATTGTGTGGCATTCTTCAAACCTGTTTACATGAAATAAAAATGCAAAAGCATGATCTAATTGTTAAAACAATTGCACAAATATACTTCTAATAATAAGCTAATATTAGTTGGAAAAAGCAGATTCCGAAGATAGCACTCTGCAAAACAATAATGTGCTGTCATGTCAGTTCCAACATATAGTGACCCTTCCCTAAATTTTAGGTATACAGCATGCTTAGTTTGACACCAATCTCTTTATCCACTCCATGCTCTCTCTCTGGAAATGCTGGCAGTGCAGATCTCTGTGTCTAGTTCACAGCCACTGCACCTACCTTTAAAATGAAGCAGCTGATCATTCCACCAGCAGCTGCTGATTTGAAGCTAACTTTACCCAAGACATACGAACAATTAGTTGCTTTCCAGATTTTATTGACAGATAAGGACCATAACACGAGAAAGCTTTTCTTGCTTTTCCTGTGGGTGGGTAATGCTTGTGCATGCGTCCCCCTACACCAAGAGCAAGTTCTACTGAACTTGTATCTCAAACAAAGTACACAGGAACTGGCTCCTAAAAACTATGTGTAGGAGTGGATGGAATAGGAACTGCAGGCTGCTCCTACTTACTACATATACAGATTATTATGGTGCCCATTAGGTTCCAGAGATAACTAGCTCAGTGATTTAGGCATTTGGCTGCGAAGCCAGGGGTTTAGGTGTTTGGTTAAAATGTGTCTCCTTGACACCAGCTAGACTCAGTGATCCCTAGGGTCACTTCCAGCCCTTCAGTTCTAAGATGATGATGAACCAGTATATTGATTGATTGATTGATTGATTGATTGATTGATTGATTGATTGATTGATTTGATTTGATTTGATTTGATTTGTATCCCGCCCATCTGGTCTATGCGACCACTCTGCAGCTATGCAATATAAGAAAATCAGCAATGGAAGCAAACACAGTTCTACTATTTGATTCAATACTTTTTTAAGATACTGTTTACTAGTTAATTCAAAAAACTGCTGCAGATAAAACTTTGATTAAACACTCCCAATTATTGTGCAGAAAAATATTATCTTTACCATCCTGAAAGACTCTTTCCACATTCAGCCCATAGGTAGCGCAGGTTTCATAGTAGGTGCATCTTTTCAAATCATTTGAAAGCTTCCGTGCTCTGGCATCATCTATTGCCCGTGGGTTACTGGAACTTATAGCATCTGTAAAGGAAACAGAAATATTTTCTTTTTAAAAAATGCTTAAACCTAAGAAGAATTTCTGAATTAATTTCTCAATTAAAGACATCTTTTCTCTACAAAAGTTTTTAAAATGTCAGCAAGTCAGAATCCTTACATTTGAAACAGGCAATAACCTAAGTGTCTGCATCCACCAAAGTTTAGTATCTTGCCCCCTCTATAGCTGTGATTTTCCAGATACCTTTAGTACAAAAAATATAGGATGATAAAATCCCAAAACAACGCAGGTTGCGCGTTACCCACTCGCGCTCTAGAAACAGCATTCTGGTTGTCTGAAGTATGTTGATACAGTTCTTAATTACTCTGCTGTGGTTTATTTTAAATATTTCATACCTTGGATTTCCATTGAGTTAAGATAAAGGATTGTTAAACACGCCATGGAAAGGCAGAACTTACTGTCTGCTTCATAAATTCTTCAAATTACTCTTACATCTTGATTCTTTTTTCTTTTTGAGAATGCTATTACACTTTATTCTTATTATTTTATCATTTTTGTCTTTTATGCTTGTTTGTATGTTCTTGCATAAGATGACAAATACTATTTTATGATTTGTTTAATCTATGTTCTTACGTATAGCCTGAGCTACAAGGTAATAAAGTATCTGTATTTGTTTTGAAATGTATGTGCACTCAAAAGATTTCCAAAAATCTCAGATTGCAGAGAGTATTAAAAAGAATCCAAATGTCAAATAACTGCCTAAAAGAATGATCTATATGAATGGTCAAAAACAGAACAGAAGGCAAGATGGGTTTTTTTAGAGAAGTCCCATCTACCACACAACTAAACTGATCCACCCTCTTAAGGCATCTTGGCCAACTACAGTGGGGTCTTGACTTGAGAACTTAATCCGTATTGGAAGGCGGTTCTCAAGTCAAAAAGTTCTCAAGTCAAATCTGCATTTCCCATAGGAATGCATTGAAAACCATTTGATCTGTATCTGCTCTTTTCCGACCATAGAAACTAATGGGAAGCTGCTATTCCGCCTTCGACCACTAGAGGGGGATATTTTGTTTCTTTTTTTCTTAGGTCAAGAAAGGTTCAGGGAAGGCAGGGAAAATACAGTCCAGGCAGTACCAGGCAGTCTGAAGACTCCCAATCCACTCTCTAAACGCTGGGAGGAGTGAGGAAGCAGACAGGCACCCTTTTCACTGGCCAACAGTTAACTGAAAGTTCACTCTTTGCACTTTCCCTGCCTCCCACGTGGGCTTTTTTCAGTTCTTAACTCAAATCTAAGTACTTAAGTCAAGTCAATATTTTCCTATGAGAGCAGTTCTTAAGTCAAAATGTTCTTAACTCGAGCCATTCTTAAGTCAAGACCCCACTGTATATCAAGGCAAATCCACAACCAACAATCAGGTGAAAGAAGGAGACTTAGAATGTACAGACTGACTGTTTAACAGTCAAATAATGGGAGGATTAACCAAAAAAAGCCAGCTGGGGCTTGGAATAATAAAGAAGTTAAAAAGGGCTAGGATATGAGAGAAACTAGACAGGGTTTGCCTTAAGAAACAGCTGACTAAGACTGAGCTTTAAGAGTTTTGGTCAAATATTGCTAACCTCTTCATTTCACTCAAACTGAAGAAAGGTCCAGGACTGCCTTTATATAAATTAGTAAAAGCAACCAGCCTTTTTAGGGACACTACCTTTTCTGTTGTCTCCTATGAGACACTGTTCTGAAATAAATACTATGCCTTTAAATACAGTAATCACCACAATTCATCCGTCATTTGAGTGTTCTGAAAATAAACCTATGTTTCAGTTTCAGAACCTGCCTTAATTTATATTTATTGGTCAGTTTATGTATTTATTGGTCAGTAGTTTAAAGAAATGCAATAAATAATAAACATCACCTGCTCTGATTGAAATACTGTCCTATCAACAATATAAACCATTATTTACTACATAAAATGCATGGAATGTATGTTTTCTATCACTCCTTGCCCTGGTTTGAAAATTAATTCATTAACATTAAGTGTTAGAAATGACAACATTAATTTGTTGTCATTAACACTAGAAATGGACGCATGATTAAGTCAATGAATGTGCACTATTTAAACTTTAAGTTTTAAAAGAAATGGGGGAGGGGGAAGAAGGTTCAGAGTTCCTTTACTGACCCCTAATAGCATATTCTTCATTTGCTCCTTCAGTAATGAACTCCTTATTGTTTTAACTCTGCCCTCCTCAATGAAACACTGTTTTCAAACAGCTCAGAAATCCCAAAATGAATATGCTATGCTGGGGATGATATAACTAACATGTCCAGAAACTTGAGGATGTAATAGATTGCATTCTAGAAACCGGACATCCTAGACTAGACGAAGATACATTTACACTCTACCTACAGTGTATGCAATGTTAAAAATCAGTAACTTTTTATGTACTTTCAACAGACTTCCTTCCACACAATTAAAAGGAAACAAAGTGAATGAACACTGGCAAAATTCTCAACACTTGCTCCTGTGCAGCTATTTTAGGTCACAGGAATCTTTTCCTAAAACATGCATCACTCTCCCTTGATGGTTATATCTGAAAACTACTTCTTCCAACCTTACATTGATAATTCGGTTTTAAAATACGATTAGAAGTCTGAAATTTTTTTAGCCTTTTTGGTAGACTACTAATCTGAATGGCAATATTTTGAACAAACAACAAAAAATGAATTGTCTCCATTCTGTTATTTTTCTAAAATACTGAGGATATGTGCAGCCAATTCTTTCAGAATGATGATTTAATCGCATCATCTTGAAGGTGAGCAAAAATTACTCCACTCACACCAAGAGTCATTTTCTTGTCCTCTGCACACCATCCAGAGGATCAGGGTACCCTCCAGAGCCTTTACAGCAGGTGTGGGTAAATTTGGCAGGTCCATACCACCCTCACTGGACCCACATTTATGCATGACCTGCCACCACTAAAATTCATCTGCAAGTTGTATCACCAGACTGTATCAGGGCCACATATTGGTCACTCCTTTTCATGGTTTTTGCAGGGAGAGACTCAGTAAGAGAAGACTCGGCAAAAGAAAATTCATAGCCAACGTTCTTTCCAATGGCACAACAGGAATTTTGAACAGATGGTCTAACTGGAACTTTTGTCAGAGGAGAGGCAAGATCTGTTCTCGATCATCCCAGAGTGCAGGACATGCAACAATGGGCTCAAGTTAAAGGAAGCCAGATTTCGGTTGAATACCTGTAAACTCGTACGACGTCGCTGGAACCAGTCGTATTGGCTCTTACCTTTCCATTGGACTATTTCAGCGACATGGAGAGGGGGGATTTACTGCTTGGGTAACAGCCTATCCTCCATATTATTTTACCCAGGCTTTGGGCTCTGGAGAGGACACTCCAGCTCCTCCATACAGAGCACATTACCATAGTCTCTCAAGACTGAAGTCTGCCTAATCTAATCATAGGTACTTTTATGTAAGCAGCTGATGCTAGTCTTTGCAGTGAAATCTGCAAGACTTATAGCAATCAGATATCTTTGGTGTATATCTGAAGTTGAGAAAAGAAAAATCAACAGAGTTTTCTTAAAACCACCTATGTAAAGAAAAAACTGGAGCCAATGAAAGCATGAAAAAGGAACCTCTGGAACAGATACTCTTATTAGGCCATGAAGATTCTCCATTCACCTCTAAGTTGTATATTTTGCAGGCAACTTCATAAACCATCACACAAAACTGAACATTACATTTTACACTTTACTTGATAAGCTACTGCCTGAAATTACGTATAACTTTGTGAACTACATGCATATATATAAAATTCAGGACCCAGGCTGAAAAAGGTTTTAAACAAGGCAAAATTAAATAGGTTTTGAAGAAAAAGTGTACCACTCAAGAGGTTTCACCTACCCTGAGTTCCCACCAGTACCATTGGGATTTCATTCGTGTTGCGATAGTTTGTCATACGGCTATAGTAGTGGTACACAGTCTGGAAGCTAATTTCATCTTCAAGACTGAAGACAAATATAACAGCATCCACCCACATTGCAAACTGCAAACAAACAAATAAAAAAAACATATATAAATACCCAGGAAACTAAAATCTTGCCACCTTGAGAAGTATGATCTCAGGCATATACTTGTAAGTTGGCATTACAATCTCAATAGAAAGTTAAATACTGTCCTGAACATTTCTATTTATCACAGAACATCTGTGCAAACTGATGCACTTGAGGTCTGAGAACTAAAAATGGTATATTCTTTACATGGCATAATATGCTTTATAATTACCTGAAATTGTATCTTTAACAAATGCTGTTTCCATTTTGCTACTTCCAGAAAAATTATCATATTGGTGTGATTGAATTATAGTTATAAAGGTATGAATTACTGTATACATCAGAAACAGTTCAATGAACTGTAAAGAGCATACTTAAAAGAGTATCTGAACATAAATTTTAAAATAAATATTCATAACATGCACAAATAAAGAACAATAAATAAAAAAGTTTATTGTGATAGAAGTACCATCTGTGATGGAATTATACACTTCAAATAGGAATGCACAAGAATTATATTGCATTATTTAAACACAGGGAAATGTGCTGCTTCATAACATTTGCTACATTAACTACTCTATTTGAATCAGGTACCATTTACAGATATTTAGGGTGCAGTTAAGTGTTTTGGAGAAGAGAAAACGCATTTGTGTCACATGATTCATGTGTTTATTAGAAACATTTTAAACAGTTGTGCTTGTTTGCAGGTAACTGAAGATTTTTTAAATACATAAACAATAAAGGAAATATAAACATTTCCATATCTTTATCACATTTCCACAGAATATTTATATCACAAATATCTTCATAATCAACAAAACTGTGAAATGCCTTTTCCCTGCAAAACAAATTAGAATGAAGCTTCCAACTGCCATGTCTGCATCTTGGCTTTTCAATCCCATTGCTTCCTGAACGACATGCTAATTGAGCAACATGTATATGGTAGATGGCTGAACATCCAGTGTGTGTTTTTGGCTATTCAATAACCTAGTTGATCAATTTCTGATACTGTAATAAGCAGGACCAGGCCAGCCATTAGCCAAACTGAGGTAGCTGATTCAGACAGTGCAGTACTGGCAATAGCTACAAAAACACAATCACCACTATTGGCTCCAAGTGGCTTAAGCCACCTGTCATCACCATTAACCTCCTTCTCTCCACCACTGCCTTTTGCTTATTCCAGCCAACCTTTTGACAGCTATGTTAAAACTGCTTTTGCAAAAAGAATATATTATTACATTTATAAAAACACTTTCTTACAATGAAATGTGATGTAAAAAGCAGAGATGAATTGCCCAGTGTTAATGAACACAAACACACACACAACACACACAACACAAACACCACACAACACACACAACACACACACACACACACACACACACACACACACACACACACACACACACTTGTATTCCTCGTCAAGTGCCAAATCCCACCACCGGCTAATGACAAGGAATAGAAATGGAACTAGTTAACTCAAGGCAATTGACTGCTGTGATATATGCTGCTGCACTTAATGCTAGCATAAATAACCAAGAGGAGTCTGGCCGCTCATTAAAATGCCAATTCAGTTGTGCCCTATAGGAATGCACACTAAGAACTTTAAACTGGTACATTATATTTACACTGATCCAAGAATTTAAAACATTCATTTTGTGTTCACTTTTTCACAGAACGGAAGCATGCACATTTTTCTGCTTTTTTTGGTTGGCCTAATAAATGTATCATCTCATTATGTATTTCCAACCATGCTTTGGGCACCTATAACCACTAACATATGCAGAGACATCATTCCCTCAATAGTAGCATACATTACTTAACACAACTTATAAAAACTGCCTGAACAATGTGTTCTGTATTCAAAGACCCTATATATACAGTCATGACCAAAATATTGGCACCCTTATAATTCTGTCAGAAAATGCAACCCCTCTCTCAGAAAATTGTTACAGTTGCAAATGTTTGGTTTTCACATGTTCATTTCTTTGGTTTGCGTTGGAACAATGCAAACAGAGAAGAAAAGTCAAATCTGATACAATCCCACACAGAAACCAAAACATGCAAAAATCCAACAAATTTCTTCTCTGTTTTTTTGTGCTGTTCCAATGGAAACCAAAGAAATGAACATGTGAATACCAAGATATTTGCAACTGCAACAATTTTCTGCATTAAGTAACCTTCAACAACTTCAATTAATTCAATTGTCAACATTGCAGTCATGTACTGTAGTTCTTCAGCAGTCACAAATTTTGTCTTCAATTGTAGTCCTGCTTTTGCATTTTCACTTTCATCAGAAGTTGTTGCTGCTTCCTGCTAGAAAGATGGTGTCATCTGCATATCTTAAATTACTGGTGTTTCTTCAACCAATTTTCACTTCTCCTTCATCTGAATCAAAGCCAGTTTTTAATATATTCTGTATACAGATTGAATAGGAAGGAAGATAAAATACACCTATGTCTCGAAACTTTGGGAAACCATTTTGTTTTTCTCTATTCTGTCCTGGCAATAGGTTCTGGTCCACAATACAGGTGACACATCAGGACAATCAAGTGTTGAGGTACACCCATTTCTTTCAGAGCAGGTCACAGCTCTCATAATCCACATAGTCAAAGGTGTTGCTGTAGTCTATAAAGCACAGACTGATCTTCTTCTGAAATTCTTTGATGCCAGCTTGTCTTTCATTGCAATTTGGTACTTTTATTACTAACAATTATTTGTACACACCTGTAAAATGTATGTGCTTTCAAATAGTGCAAAGTGTAAACACAAATAACACCTTGGGAATGTCACCTGCATTTCCTGCTGGAACTGGCAGGTAATAACTGGCTTTGTCTCCAGTGTTTTTTCTCATGCAAACTGAAGAGCAGAAAGATTAATGGCATTATAGCTTAACTCATCGTCGTTTAGTCGTTTAGTTGTGTCCGACTCTTCGTGACCCCATGGACCAGAGCACTCCAGGCCCTCTTGTCTTCCACTGCCTCCCTGAGTTGTGTCAAATTAATTCTGGTAGCTTCGATGACACTGTCCAACCATCTCATCCTCTGTCGTCCCCTTCTCCTCTTGCCTTCACAATTAAACAGTTGTGCTGTACTTAACTAATGCTGTACTAAAAAAGTTTTCCAGGGACAAAAGGAAGATAAAGTTTGGTTCAATCCATCGTATTTATCACAAAACTATATTCTTAACCACAGCACTCACCTGTGCTTCAGGAGGACCCCCTTCATCTCTAATCAGCAGCAGGTAACTCTGACCATCAACTACTATCTCTTTTTTGAATCTCCCACCTGTTATACAAAATAACTAGTTAGACAAAAGATAAAAATGCAAAATAATGAAGGTTTCTCTTGAGGCAAATTAATCTTTCATGCTTTAATTTTGCTTTGAGCATTTATAGCTTTGTATGGTTTAAACTGTGATGATCTTTCAGGCAAACCAATTCATTTTTGAGGGTACTTTTATAGTTGAATCTGGTACAGAAACACATACCCTGCTTTGCTTTGCTATTTGAGGCAAAGAATCCAATTGTCAGTTTGAAGCAAATTGTCTCAAAAATAATGTGATAACTAACATTATAGAGTATCAGCAGAACAGTAATCGCTATGTACTATCAGCTAACAAGACATATAAAGCATTCTGATGCATGAGCTTTTAATTTTCATCAAGAGAAACCTACTTCTATAAAACAAAACATACATTATGACAATGGTACCTCACTAACACAGAGGGATGTTGTAGTGCAGCAACATACCTTAGACAAAAAATAGTATTTACTATAACAGTATCTGTTGTAGTTTTCCTTTAGAAGACTGCTATGTACATTAATTTAATCCATACTAGACATTTATGCTGATGAGACAACATTTAGCACATGTACAAAAGTTGTGAGCCTAAGAAAAACACCCAGCTGCATTACAGGTTTATAAGTTCATCATCTATTATGACATCTCATTAAGCAAATCATATTTTAAGAATTATGCTCTATCACACACATTAGAGCAAAAGTAATGCCAAATTACATTCAAGCTAAGATTAGATTAACCAACATGGTTTGTTTAACATCTCAGTAAGGATTTAAAGAATGCTTCTGAAAGTCAAGGTATTTCTGTTACAGTAGAAGGCCAACAAGAATCACTGCAACATATATGCTGAAAGAACTGGAGACTAAACTCCTTTCAGTTGTTATTGCTCTGTCTTATTAAAGTCATATGGTGAAAGCAGAGCCATACATATTAGACCTATCCCCACACTATCTGCAGGCATTTGTGGTCCCAATGTTCTAACTCATATCATCAGCCTAAGTGCCTTCCACACAGGCATATCCAAATGCGTAAATAAGAATATGCAGACCTGCTCTCTCTACTGTAATGTTACAATCAACAAGGGATCAATAGGATGAATTACGATGGATTATTCGGAGGTAGTTTCTACTGCATGTCAGAAAAGTTCTAAACTGTACACTGAATATGTACCCCATATAAAGGGGTTGTTCCAATTAACAATGAGTGTGGTTCTAATTTATATCAGCAAATTCACCGGACAAACTTCTGCCAAATATGGAAATGTTCTTATTTAATAAATAAAGCTGAATAAGTAAATAACTCATTTAGTATATAATAAAGGCAAATCATACCTCAGTCTCTATAACCAATGTTATTATTCATACATAAAATATAGAACACAATGGCTGAAACTCAGTTTCTTTCTAAGGCAAATGGTGTGACCTTCAGTCACCTTTGGCTAGTAACTAATGAGTCTCTGTTGGGATTCTTTTATGTATGCAAGCCAGTTGACCCGCACTTCCCCCAAAATCCCAGTGGCAACTCCTTCAACATCAGCTGGAAGCAACTGAGCGTTACACCATTTGCCTTTTGCAAGTGTAACAAAGTAACGGGAGTCCAGCCAATCATTTATAACTATTAAATGTTAAAAGTTATATATTAATTATGTGTTAAAATTATAATTTTAGTGATATCTCCTTAAAATCATTTTAGTATAACACAGAACTTTTGGGGTCAGTCTGAACCCTTACTAGGAGAAAAATACTATATGAACTGACAGACCCAAACTGAGAATTATGTATTTTACACTGTATTGTTTTAACAAAATCAAGGTATTTTTGACAGTGAGTGCTACATATTACCAGAATCATTATAATGCATAATTTTATTGGGGTCACAGGCTATCTTTAAACGGGCTGTGTTGCTCAATCACTCCAGGTAGTTACCAACTGCACATTCTCATCCATAAAATAATATGAATTGGTATAAATATGAACTATGGTTCTTGTCTGTAAATGTATATTAATATTTGCAGGTAGAATAGGAAAGTAAGTTCCTGTGGCCATGTACTACAGAAACAAATACTCTTTTTTTTCTTTCATGAAACTGTTTAAAAGAAATAAATAAATGTGTGTACTGTGCAAATGCTGTTGTGCTCATTTTCCACAGTCAATATCCTGTTACAAACAAACCTCTCATGCAACTGATACAGCACAAATGGTCTGCCTTTTTTACTGACTGGGCAGGAAGGTATCCAGGACAACCTTTGACAAGCATAAGGCAGTTATTCCAAACAACAGGCCATGCATGCCAAAGTACTGTACAACACCAAAATGTGCACAGATAGTCCTGCACCTTCTGTGGAGTATGAAAAACATAAATTTCACAAATGTACTAAGGAAGTTGTTATATGTGAAAATATGCAATCTCTTTTTTTTATCAAGAACATACTGCCATTTCTATCATACTCACTGACAAATTTCTACACCTAGGATATTCAAAGGCCTACCCTAAAATGCTAATTGTTCCTTTTCTACTTCTTGGGCAAAAATTCTCCCATTCTTCTTCGCTTATCAAGAACACAAAGAATTGTATTTTATAAACACAACTAGAAATCTTGTCAAGTCATTCCTTGTTGTTGTTTAGTCGTTTAGTCGTGTCCAACTCTTCATGACCCCATGGACCAGAGCACGCCAGGCCGTCCTGTCTTCCACTGCCTCCCAGAGTTGTGTCAAATTCATGTTGGTTGCTTCAATGACACTGTCCAACCATCTCATCCTCTGTCATCCCCTTCTCCTCTTGCCCTCACACTTTCCTAACATCAGAGTCTTTTCCAGGAAGTCTTCTCTTCTCGTGAGATGGCCAAAGTATTGGAGCCTCAGCTTCAGGATCTGTCCTTCCAATGAGCACTCAGGCTTGATTTCCTTCAAAATGGATAGGTTTGTTCTCCTTGCAGTCCAGGG